ATTCCATTTTAACTATATTTGTTAACTTTCTTACTAGAGTATGTATTTACATTTCTTTTTTAAATTTTAAAACCATACTCATTTTCTTCAAATCCAGTTTCCTTTATTATATATTCTTCATAAATGTTCAATAAATAAGGGGAAAATATGCAGCCTTATTTCACTCCTAAAGTGAGCACTGACCTTGTAAATTCATTCCCATGCATGATTATTTTCTAGGATATTGCCAATTAATTTAGCATTTTTTAAAAATTGGACAGAATGGTTAGTATCTTAAATTGCCTCAAATCAGTGGTGGGATTCATCTGGTTCGCACCACTTCGGCAGAACCAGTAGCTAATTTTTTGTTGCCCAGGCTCAGAATGGACTTCCGGAAGTGGCATACACACAAAGAACCGGTTGTTCACATATTTGAATCCCACCACTGCCTCAAATGACACACATTTTTTTTAAAGTCTAGAATCCTAACATATGTACATAAAAGTAAACTCTTGTCAATTAATAGGAGGTCCTTCAGAACACTGTTGGACTGAATTATACATATTTTAGTTGTATTAGTTGTAAGCTCCAAAAATCTACTTAAAAATAAAGATTGAATCAATTTTATCTAATTCTAAATAGTACACATATACTATATACATACACACTTGAATCTAGCACTTCAGTTGACAATATTAGTGATGATCTTTGGTAAGATCAGAATTCCTAAGCTAAAGCTGCAGAATTTGGCTTTTGAAATGATTATATTTATTTGACTTAAATTTCTCAAGATTGAGAGATTATTTCTCATAGTTCAACTGAGTCTTATTTCTACCATCTAAGATTTATTTAAAGCACTTAAACAAAAATAGTAAGGAAATGATAAGTTTAATTAAACTAATTCAGTTTGGGCACTGCCCAACTTTGGACAGCTCTGGCTGGCTCACAATGTAACAACAACAAAAATACAATATGAATAATTATTGACAAAATAAAGAATAAGAAAATAAGAACCAAAAAAAGGGGGGGAAAAGGAAGAGAATAAGATGATGGTGTGGCAATAATACCAAAAAGCACACCATATAAGGAAGGATCCCACCCTAGCCTAAAGAACAGACAGGTCTTTAAAACCTTCCAGAATGCCAGGGTGGGAGGTACACAGATTTTCAGAGGAACTTCATTCCAAAGACAGAACGTATGACAGAGAATGCCTGAAAGATAATGCTTTTGAATTGAAGAGACATGACACTCATCAACCCTGCCACCTCACACTGATGGACAGACACCATTGGAGATAGGTGGTCCCTCAAATAACCAAGCTCCATGATATGCAAAGATTTATAAGTCATATACAGCACTTTGAATCACACCTGAAAGCAAAGTGACAGCCAGTGCAACTCTCAGAGCAAAGGTACCACATGGCCAAGCTATGCCCACCACTGCCCATTCAGAAGCAATGTTGTGTTCGGACCAATGGAACCTTCCAAGTAGTCTTCGATGTTAGTCCAGTGCAGAGCTCATTACTTTAGTTGAACCATGACTGACTAGGGAATAAGTGACTGTCTGAAGAGCCTCCCAATCTAGGAAAGACCACAACTTGTGCATGAGATGAAGTTGTGCAAAGCACCCACAGCTGCTACCTGTTCATAAAGCCTAATACATTTATTTAAAAATAAATGTATTTCTAAATTGTTTTTACTGAAATAAACACATTTAAGTTGGCACTTCAATTAAGACAGCCTGTTGATTTCCAGATACCATAAATTACTGTACAATTTCTAACATTCACAAGGTCAGCAATCACCTAATTGGTTAGGATGATAATTATACCTCAACATATTTGGAAGACTCAAGGGTGACTAAATGTCACGGAATCAAGAAAGACTAAATACATAGCACTCCATCCTCTTCCTATTTTCCTCACAAAAGGCCTACGAGATGAGTTGTGAGTATCTGGCCAAAGTCAGCCAGTGCCAGCTTTCATACCTAACACAGAACTACAACTCACGGTCTTCTGATTTTTAGGTCAACACCTTAACAACTATGCATATATATGTTTGTGTGTGACCCTAAATAGAGAAATCTCATACAAATTGAAAGGAGAAAATTATGTATGCTAAAATTTATTATGAAGATTATTAATCTCTAAAACAGAGATTGAAAACTTGAAATGCCAAATTACCTGGTTTGCCAGAGTTTGACACTTTTAAGTAGAAAATGTTAAAAATTGTAATGCACTTAGTTTGAAAATAAAAATAAAGAATATTTCAGATCCTACCTCCTCCAATACCTACTGTATAAAGGGAATATTTAAATACTGTCATTACTCACCCTACAATACATCATTTCCCATTTACAAATGTTAATATATGCAAGGTTATCGAAAAGATCTCCCAGACTTGCTCTATATCAATATTAAAATCTTATCATGCTAGAAATTTCACAATATCAATAAAACCACAAACCCAGAAACACACACACATATACACACAAGCACACGTATGTGTGTCAATTGTTAAATAGATGAGTTTGCAAAAATATTTTTTATTGTTCCACATGCCATGTATTATGATTTATAATCTAATACATAGGCTTGTGATATTTCTACTTTGTTCTCTAATTTTATTTACTTGTATTTTAATAGTTGCAGAACAGTAAATAAATAAATAAATAAATGAACAGTATCAAACCAATTTATTTTCATAGACTCCAAATCTTAAGAAAAGAGAGCCAAAATAATATCAGTATTTAAAAAAAAGATCCATGAAGGTGCATATCCATCAGATAATTTCACAGCAACAGCAGAAGTTTGATATTAATAATAAGTCTTGATAATATGCTATTAAATTATTCAAGTGAATTTTTCTGTTAACCAGAAATGATAACCTAATAATAGTAACAATAGGGCCAGAAAGACTGAGCACTGTGAAAGAAAGCTAGGAACAGTTGATATCCACCCACATGATTGTCCCCAAAAACATTTTGATCGGCAAATATTTGAATTCTATACTGGGGCAAAACTAAGAACAACAAATCACATTTTAGGATCAAAACAAATCTAAACAAAAATCCCTAACGCTTTAAGGTTAAAGATTTAATGTATTCTAAAAAGCATGGACAGTAAATTAAGTGATGATGTTATTGCCTGTGTCCACTACAATGCAGTATGGTTCTGCATAAATCCGGACTGTGATTTATAAACCATGATTCATGATTTAGTATGATGTGTGAACATCTCTCTTTGGTTTAATAATTTTATAATTACAATATATAACTGCTTAGCACAATGTATGAGCCTATCCACTTCACATTTTTACATATTGTGTCTATTTACAACTGTAATGCATAAGAGGTGCTCAGTGGCTTAAAGGTGCTGAAAGTGGTCTTTGTTCTGGTGGTTCAAGTCCTAAAATTGTGTGGTGGAATGAGCTCCCTTTATTTGCTTCTAGCCAACCTATAAGTTTTCTCACTTTGGTGAGAAAATAATGACATTTTGTGCGGTAATATGAATAGGGTTGCCAGGTCTGCTTCCAAAAAATAGCGGACAAGCGGGGGGGGGGGTTAAGTAGTAAAAAAAAGTAGACTGTACAGCTTTAGATTACGTACCCTTTCATCATAAAGCTTTTGAATAAAAAAAATGTCCACTATTTTGTGAAAAAAAATAGTGAACATAATGTGAAAAAAGTGGACTGTCCACTCAAATAGTGGACACCTGGCAACCCTAAATATGAATCCAGTCGTTGCCAGACCTTCCCTAATGCAACGTCCAAGTGTGAGATGACATCAGTGGAGGGAGAAGCTCTGGCTCACTGCTGCAGAATGCCATTGAACCTGAGTGTAGAGCTAGTCTGCCCCCTATGGTGCACTCTAAATAGAGCACAAATATGAACAAAATGGACTAGCAATTTTCGGCAGTAAAACAACTACTCTGTACTAACACTGTAGTTTCCTGGCATCTCCATACACAAATACACTCCATACACATCCAACATCTCCATATACCAAATAAATGTAATACATAGAATACATAGTAAGTTAGTAAGTAGAAAATCAGTATAAAATTAATAAGTTAATAAGCGGTTGTTTCCTTAGAGGATCTGATATAGACCTGTCAGTCAATTTCCCTTGTATTATTAAATAATAGCCATAAATACATTAAATAGACCACTCAGAAATAGCTTGTCAAGTCATGAAGATAAGTCATAAAGATATACTTCACCAAACAAGTGTTAGTTTATTCTTCATTCTGTAGCATTCTCATTCAAATACTGTTCTGCTCACCATGATGTTTTTATTCAAGTACACATATAGTCATCAAACATGACTAAAAGTATGTAAGATGTCCTCAACAGGAATATGCAATCAAAAGATTACAGCATTTCCTTTGTATTGGAGAGCATCTTACAGATGTCTTCAAAAATCCTTTAGTATAAATGAAGTTTACCAGCTATGTTTAACTCAATAGAAAGCAAATTTAACATTTATCTTTGTTAGCTTAAAACAGTGCTCCCTAAACCTGAGTAAATTACCCCAAATTAGATAAAAATGTTTTTTGTTTTGGGTAAAAACACGCAAATAGAACAGAACAGAATAATAACTTTATTGTCACTTTAAATGTACATTAATCAATATACATTAAAAATGAGATTTCGTTGCATACAGCTCTCAAAGGGTAACCACCTCCAATATATACTGCATAAACATGACCAAAAAAACAAAATACAAAAAAAAAACCCATTATTCAGTCACAACAGGATATTTAAATTGACTTAAAAAGTTTTACCTACAGTGGGTAAAAAAACATTTTCTGATATGCAGTTTTGGGTAATGAAGGAAAAGGTTTGAGATATTTGAGTTGTCCCTATCAGATACCCTATTTCATTTTCCCCCAAAAGCTTAGTTTTAAGCAATGTACAAACAAATAGATGAAGTTGCATAAAAACACATGAGGCAATATACAGTATGCTTACTTTGTAGCAAGTAAATATGTTGACTTTATATAACAGAACTTCATAATTTACCTTCCACTCATCCAGAACAGCAATGAACAGTAGTATCTGTGAAGGATTCCATGTGCTAAAGGGACTGAAGAGAGATCTCCAGTAAGCAAATGTACATTATTAGACCACAATTTATTTTGGGGCCATCATGGATAACCTCCTATAAATATCAATTCACAAGTAAATCCTAGTGATCCAATGGGTTGATTCCCATGTAAGAAGTAATAAGATATTACTTCAATCTGTTGAATTTTTTATCACATTCAACAGTTGAACATAACGTAAGTCAGTTTTGTAATTATGCATGCTTGTAAATATATATTAGAAAACAATAACCTTTAATCTGAAATTTTATTTATTATGTGAAAAAATGGTAAATTATAGTATATGTATCTTATAACAGTATTCATAAAATGATATAGGTCAGGGCTTGTCAACCGGTGGTACGCGTGCCACTTGTGGCACGCGACCACCTGGCTGGTGATACGCGGCGTTGCCTTCCTCCCCCCGCTCCTTCCCACACCTCACTTGTTTGTGGAAAATATGCTGCTTGGCGGCAGCCTGCATGAACTTTACCGAATGTGCCCTGCAGGAGGCGTGTGAAGAGCGCAGGCGCAGAGCAAGGCCCCGCCCTCCCCAGGGACTCATTTCAGAGTTACACCGCAAAAGTTTTTCTCGCGCAGAGGAGAGAAGAAAAACAATTGCGGAACACTCGGGAATCCCTTGCAAGGCACCAGGTACCTTGGTGCTTATTTCCTAATGCCTCCCCCCGTGTTTTCTGCTCCACCCCGAATTCGCCTCCCTTCCACTCTCCTTTCGCCTTAATACACTCTCCTATGGCCTTAATACAGCCCTCAGTCTGTCTCACTTTCAGCACCCCCTAAAATTCTTCATTCCAGAGTTCGGCTGGCAGGATGCAGGTAACCCCTCCCCCCTGTCCTGCCGCCTCCCACGGCACCGCGCCGCTCCGCGTCGCCTGCCTCCGTGTCTCAAGCCTCCGTGGCACAGAACTGCTTATGCTTGAGCGGAAGACTTTTTCTTTTACAGATAGGGTGGGTGGGCCTGACATTCGCGGGCAGGCAGGACCCCGCCCACCGAGCCACCACCTCCCCATCGCCCTCCACACCAGCCGACTCCGTCGCTAGACCTCCCAGCTGACGGGCGCAGGAGTTCAGTGCTGCGGGGCCTCCCCTTCGCCCTCCGCACCGGCCAAAGCGTTGCCTGACATTCCAGCTGACGGGCGCAGATCCGGGAGTCGCCAGCTGACGGGTGCAGGAGGTAGGCGCCGCGGCAGCCTCCCAGCCACTTGCTTCTTCGGCTGGAGCAGTTGCAAGGGCTTGCATGGTCCCCAAGGGCCGCTGACGCACTCCCCGCTGCCGGCGACCATACACGCCCTTGCAACTGCTCCAGCCGAAGAAGTAGGCGGCTGGGAGGCCGCTGCGGCACCTACCTCCTGCGCCTATCAGCTGGCAACCCCCGGACCTGCGCACATCAGCTGGAACATCAGGCAATGCTTTGGCCGGTGTGGATGGCAAAGGGGAGGCCGCCGCAGCGCCGAACTCCTGCGCTCGTCAGCTGGCGACCCCCGGACCTGCGCCCGTCAGCTGGGAGGTCTGCCGACGGAGCCAGCTGGCGTGGAGGGCGATGGGGAAGCGGCAGCTCGGCAGGTGGGGTCCTGCCTGCCCGCGAATGTCGGGTCCACCCGCCCCATCTGTAAAAGAAAAAGTCTTCCGTCCAAGTATAACCTTTAAGGATTTTAAGGATCTTTGAGAGGGAGCGAGAAATAGAGAGAGGGAGAGAAAGAGGGAAAGAGAAATAGAGAGAGGGAGAGAAAGAGGAGAGGGAGAAAGGGAGAGAGAAAGAGGGAGACAGAGGGAGAGAGAGAGAAAGAAGGAGGAAAAGGGAGAGAGAAAGGGAGACAGGGAGAGAGAAAAAGAAAGGGAGAAAGGGAGAGAAAGAGAGAGGGAGGGAGAAAGAAAGAGAGGGAAAGAGAAAGGGAGAGAGAAAGAAAGAGAGGGAGAGAGAGAAAGAAAGAAAGGAGAGAGACTAAATTAGTAACATGGCTGTTCAGTGAATCTGGTTTCCCCACTAACTTTGCTTGTCACAAGGTTGCAAAAGGTGATCACATGACCCTGGAATAATGTGACCATCATAAATAAGAATCGGTTGCCAAGCATCCGAATGTAAATCACATGACCCTGGGGATGCTGCAGTGGTCATAAGTGTGAAAAATGGTCATAAGTCACTTTTTCCAGTGCCATTGTAACTTTGAACAGTCACCAAGCAAACTGTTGTAAGTTGAGGACTACCTGTACTTTATCACTTTTTTCCTTTTTTTTGTCATCAAGCTTTTGACACCTTGCTGGGTGACTGGTGGTACTCGAATGTTGCCATATTCTAAAAGTGGTACAATCGGTGAAAAGGTTGAAAAGCCCTGATATAGGTAGTCACAACTCTCTGATAGGAAACATTAACAGATAAGAAGAAAGAAATTACACATTGAATTAATATTTAACTATATTTTTTAAATTTTGCTTTTGCTAATAGAAAGTAGAATACAAAAATTTGTACAACAATACAAAAATCACAGCCCTGTTCACATCTACAGATCCAGAATTAGCCAAAGAATCCATGACTGCATTGTTTCACAGTACACTTGACTTAATTGAATACAAGATCAAAACATCCAGGATTATGGATCTCACAAACCTCTACTTAACTACATATTTGCAATTTGATGGCCAAATTTACCAGCAAATTAAAGGGACACCTATGGGATCAGGACTTATAGCGGAAGTTGTCATGCAAAATCTAGATACCATAGCACTTCCACAAATACAACCAGAAATATGGATCAGATATGTAGACGACACCTTCACCATAATAAAAAAGGACCAATTAGACAATACCCACAGAACCGTTAACAACATTTTTAAAGGAATCCAGTTTACTAGAGAACTTCCGGTTTTGCGCGGTAACGACCAGTCACGGGCTTGCGGATTCTGCACACCCCCGTGGCTAATTTTGCCCTCCCTAGGGACCCTAAATGGATCTAAGTCGCCCTGCAGAGGCAACGAAGAAAGAAAGGTGCTCCAGCAATTCTGGAATAGTGGCGGCTGTTCCGTTTGACTTGGGAAAAGCCTTCTAACCCAACAGGAGAAAGGGTGGCCATATTGCATCGACCAGCCCAAGCTACTACCAACCGAAGTCCAAAAGCACTAACCAGCACAACTGTGAACAGCGTGCTTGAAACTGGGTGAGAAATTCAATCTTCTCTTTTCTATTTTACATTTAAAAGATCCCCAAGAAGCAAAATACCTCCAAAGGGGAAGGAGGAGGATTTCCGCCCCACCCTTATACTAACAGAAGCGGCAAATTAATCTTTTTATGGAGGATCAAAATATATGGAATTGAAATAAATATAAAACCTGAAATTTAAAACTTAAATCTGGATAAATCTAAAATTGTTTGAATGCTTAAGACTCTGATTCTAAAGATAATTGTTCATTTTGGAAATTGAAAAACAAAAAGCTATTGATACCGAGTGGCAGATGAAGACTATGACAGCTATGACTTTAATATAAAACTTGGCAAAACCTGGGAAAAGCTAATCTGTGTTTGTGACTTTCAAAGTTTTAACAACAAAGAACAGCTGTGACAAAAACAGAAAGACAATAATCTGGGCTGTAGACAAAGAGAAAATTATAAATTTCAGAAAAAAAATCTTTTTTGAACTATTTGGATTACAAATATCTATTTAATTGGGACTCTAAAGCTATTTGCAGATAAAATAAAGGAAGAGAAAAACTCAAAATTCTTGGCCATCATGGATCAGAGACATGTAAAAAGAATATATCAAGACAACATAAATACACAGGAGGAGATATATAGTATACTGCAACTAATTCAAACAATATAAAAAAGTTGAAATGACTTAGATAAAGGAAATGTTTTAGATACTTAAATGTGATTGAATTTAAGAAAATTATAATGGATAAAAATGTTTTGAATAAGAGTTAAAGGACTAGATGACTAGATGTATTAAATGGAATGTTTAAAGATTAAAAATATTTTTAATTATGGTTAAAAAGAACAAGAAATTTGGGAAATAAATATATATCAGCTTAGGAGGGATATATTTTAAGTAGCATGTTATTTTTATGTTTCTTTACTCTTGCTCTCCTTTCTTTTTCTCTCTCATTGTTTTATCTATTCCTTAAGAAATGTAAAAGTGTGAGATGATTCATATGGAAAAATAGAGTTAATTTTTTAAATGTAATTAATTTTTGAGAAAATCTTAACCAGTAAGAATACCTAGAATTTGGTGGGAGAAAAAACTAAAATAAGGACTGTAACAGGATCTATGATAAGGCAACCAGAACGAAGAAATAAGAAATCAGAACACCCAGCAACCCCAGAAGAAAAAACAGGAGTCATCTACAACATATAATGTAAGAACTGCAACAACCACTATGTAGGACAAACAGGCAGAAGACTGACAGAACACATCCATGAACACCAACTGGCAGTCAAAAGGCATGACAAAAAATTCTTTAATTTCACAACATATAGACAGATTTAACCATAGTTTTGATTGGGAAAATGTGACATTCCTAAACCAGGCCAAATCCAAAAATGCCAGGGAATTTCTAGAAGCTTGGCATTCTGACAAATCAGCCATCAATTGTCACATAGACATTAGCAACACCTATAGACTACAGTATGCAAAAGAGACAATCAACCAGCCCCAAAGAGAAAAAGATTCCAGCACCTCTCCACCAGTTATCAGCACTCAGGTCAGCATAGCTTAGCTCCAAGGTCAATTTCAGACCAACAATCAAGTAAGCAATACCCCAAACAAGAAACTGCCAAAGAGCCATTAGTAAACAGCCCAACCAAAGAATCCCTAAGACTTCCCCCACCTACACAGACAGACAAGACACCAAAATATAAACTGACAACAAAGAGTGCTCCTTACTAGCACTGATGATGTTACCTAGTTTGGGTAATGCAAAGTCTGCAAGAAAACAAACAAGCTCAGAGAGCACCAAGGACCCCTTCATACAAAAATGTATTTGCTTGTTT